ACGGTTGTACTTCGCTGCAGCGGCAGCTGCAGCACGAGCAGCCGCTGCAGCATGAGCAGCAGCTACAGCAAGAGCAGCAGCTGCAGCAGAAGCAGCAGCTGCAGCAAGAGCAGCAGCTGCTGCTTTTTTGACATCTGCTGCAGCTCCCTGAGTCTCCCTTTGGGGGCAATTGAAACTCCGGCCGCCTTTGTGTGCAGCCCCATCGTTTGCATGCGGCTAGGGACGCATGCGCAGAGAGTTGCATGCGTTTTCGTGCGAAGAAAGCCCCAATTGTGCATGCATGCGCGAACGCATCCGCACGTGCATGCATGCATGCGCGCATGCATGCATGCATGCGCGCATGCATTCATGCGTGCGCAGTTGCATGCGTGCAGAGCTGCATGCATGCGCATTGCATGCGGGAGGGCGAGCGGGTGCATGCGCCGCTGCATGCATGCGCGGCGCGCGCATGCATGCGCCGCTGCATGCATGCGCAGCCCGCGCATGCATGCATGCAGCGGCGCATGCAGCGCGTGGGGCTTTCTTGGCTTCTTTGTCCGCTTTTATGTCCATTTGTCTTGTCTGGGGGGCCCCCAGCTGGCCCCGTCTTGTCTCTGGGAGGCCCCCGGGGGCCCCCATTTGTAGCCGTGCCCCACAGTGGGCCTTCGCCTCGCTGTGGGTTTAATTCCCAACTCAACAGTTTGAAAATCTCGTTGCCCACAACAGGGGGCCCCTCCAACTCCGGGGACCCCCAGTAAGCCTTAGGGGGCCCCTGGCTACCCTTAAAGGGGCCTTAAGGGCCCAACGCTAGCCTTGCGGGGCCCCTAGGTAGTCTTTGGGGGCCCCTAAAGAGCCTCAGGGGCCCTAGGTCGTCTTAGGGGGCCCCTAGGTCGCCTTAGGGGGCCCCTAGGTAGTCTTAGGGGGGCCCTAAAGAGCCTCAGGGGGCCCCTAGGTAGTCTTAGGGGCCCCTAACGAGCCTCGAGGGGCCCCCTAAGTAGTCTTAGGGGGTTTTTAGGGGGCCCGTAGTTAACCTTAGGGGGCCCCTAGATAGTCTTAGGGGGGCCCCTCGGTTGCCTTAGGGGGCCCTTAGGAAGTCGTAGGGGCCCCTAGGAAGTCGTAAGGGCCCCTAAGTAGCCTGAGAGGGCCCCTAGATAGCCTTAGGGGGCTTCTAGGCAGTCTCTTAGATAGGGGGCCCTAGGATGTTTTAGGGGCCCCCCGGTAGCCTAGGGGGACCCCTAGGCAGTCTTGGGGGCCCCTAGGTTGTCCTAGAGGCCCCTTAGCGACTCTGGGGGCCCTTGAATTAATAAGTGGGACCTAAGGAGCACTAGGGGCCCCCAGGCAGCTCTAGGGGCCCCTTAGCGACCTTTAGGGCCCCTCAGCAGTTCTAGGGGCCCCTAAGCAGCCTTGGGGGCCCCTTGGGGCTGCTGAGGGGCCCCAAGGGGCCTTGGGGGCCTCTTGGGGCCCCCCCAGCAACTATAGGGGCCCCCAAGCAACCCCCAAGGCCCCTTGGGGCCCCTAGGCAGCCCCAGGGGCCCCCAAGTAGGCCTAGGGGCCCCCAAGTCGGTCTAGGGGCCCCCAAGTGGGTCTAGAGGCCCCCAAGTGGTTCTAGGGGCCCCTTGGGGCAGCAGTTAGAACAGCGGGGCTGAAAAGCTACAAGTAGGGGCTAGTTCCAGTAGCTCCCGCGTGCTGCTGCTGCAGCTGCTGCTGCATCTGCTGTTGCTGCAGCTGCTGCTGCTGCCGGGCTGTATCTGGGGGTCCCCTTTGGGTTTCTAAACAGGCTAAAAGGGGCCCAGTGCCTCCTTAAAAACAAGCTGCTGCTGCTGCTACTGCCGCTGCTGCTGCTGCGCTCTTCAGAGGGTACAGATATTACGATGTTTTGTGGGCAAAGCAGCAGCACGAATGTGCTGCGCTGCAGCACTGAAGCTGCTTTTGGGGATTGTTTGGGGCTGCAGGCGGGGCCCTAACTAGTCTTTAAGCAGACACTGTTCCTGTTGCTGCAGCAGCAGCAGCTCCTGCTGCTGCAGCAAACGTAGCAGCAAAAAACTGCTTGCTGCGGCCGTTGCAGCAGCAGCAACGGCATTAACAGTAGCTTCACAAAAGCCGTTGCTGCTGCTGCAGCAGCAGCTCTCTGTTGCTGCTTTCGCTGCTGAATTAGCTTTTTCTGTATATGCTGCTGCAGCAGTATACCTGCTGCTGCCGCTGCTAAATTGAGTTCTGCGCAGCGCCAACAAGACCTGTTCACTGCGTCTTTTCCTTCTCTACTGCCCCTGTGAGCAAACAGAGCCCAGGAAGCCAGCAGCAGCAGCGGCAGCAGCAGCAGCGGGCTGCAACAAGGGCGTTGGCGGGGGCCCCTACAGCTCATCTCGGTCACCCTGCTCATCTCGGGGTCCCCTGGGGCCCCCGTCCTGGGTCCCCTTAGGAGGCCCCCCTGGGCGCCCCCCGGGGGGCCCCTGGGGGGCCCCCGAGGGCCCCTCAGACAGAGACTTTAGAAACTCCGCCAGTGCTGAAGGGGGGGGGGCCCCTAGAGGGCCCCTGCTGCCCGCCAGCTGTTCTGCTGCACGCATCAACATTCCCATTGCAGCAGGATCTGCTTCTGCAATGAATTTGAAGGCCCCCTTGAAGAAGCTCTCGGGGTCGCCTGCTAGCGTGCTGCTGCTGCTCTTGCTGCTGCTGCTGCTGCTGCTGCTGCTGCTGCCAGGCGCAGAGGCCCAGCCTTCATCCCAAGGGTCATCCAGCTCTTCAGACTCCTTCGGGCTTTTCATCTGCGGGGCAGCTTTGGCCTTGCGAGGGTTTTCTTTGCTTTGAGGGTTCGCCTTGGGGACCCCCTGGGGGGCCCCCTGGGGGGCCCCCTTGGGGGGGGCCCCCTTGGGGGGGGCCCCCTTGGGGGCCCCCTTGGGGAGCTGCGCTGTTAACTTTGTTAAAGTCTCGCGGATGTTCTCTGCAGCCTCTTGGCTGAAGGGAACTCCCATTTGCTTCGCAAGCATTGAGAAGGCCTCCGGGATTTGTGAAAGCTCTGTTCAAATGCGCAGCAGCAGCAGCAGCAGCAGCAGCAGCAGTGGCAGCAGCAGCGGCAGCAGCAGTGGCAGCAGGAGTGGCTGAAGTGGGGAAAGCCCAGAGGGACTTTCCAAACGAATGCAAAGAGACAAATCCCCGTGTAGTAGAAGTAGCAGCAGCTGCAGCAGAAGCAGAAGCAACAGGGTCAGCAGCAGCAGCAGCAGCAACCCTGCAGACCTTCTGGGGAAGGAGGCTCCATCCCTTCGAAGTTAAGAATGCGGCCGTCAGGGCCCATGATGAGGACTGCTTGGAGAGCCCCTGAATTCACAAACAGCAGCAGCAGCAGCAGCAGCCGCAGCAGCAGCAGATAATAGCCACCAGCACCGAAACAAACGGGCGTTACGCTCGCCGCTATTGCTACTGGTGCTGCTGCTGCTGCTGCTAAGCTTTTGCTGCAGCGGCTGCAAAACCCCGCCAGCCTGCTGCTGCGCTTCACAATAGCTGCTAGGGGCTAGAGGGGGGCCCCCAAGATGGGGGCCCCCATTCAGGGGGGCCCCCAAACTAATGGGGGGCCCCCAGCTGGGAGCCCCCCTCTTCTTCGGTAGTGCTGCCTCACCCTGTGGAAAACCTCTTTCATCTTTCTTTTTGGGTTTTGCTGAGCCTTCCTGGCTCTTGCGTCCGTTGCTGCTGCTTCTGCTGCTGCTGCTGGCGTGCGTCGATTCTCCTTTTGAATTCGTTTTCTTCGCCTCCTTCTCTGCTGCACTTCTCTCCGCAGAGGGGGCCCCCTTGCTGCTGCCCTCCGCCTCGGGGGCCCCCCGGGGCCCCTGGGGGGCCCCCCCAGGGGCCCCCCCGGGGGCCCCTCCGGGGGGCCCCTCTTGGGGCTCTTTGGGCGCCCCTGGAGAAAGCTGAGTCTGTTCTGTTATCTTCTGCAGCAGCTTTTTAAATCCTGGAGAAGACTGAGGCGCAGGCAAAAGGAGAGAGTGTTGAGGGTTTAAACCCTAAACCCTAGCTCCAAACCCTAAACCCTAAACCCTAGGCCAAGCCTCGAGCCCAAACCTTAAACCCTCGCCCACGCCCTACACGATAAACGGAAACCCCAAACCCTAAACCCTAGTCCAGGCCCCTAGCCCTCAACGCCTTAAAGCTCAAGGGTTTGGCCCAACCCTAAACCCGAGCTTAAACCCTAAACCCTCGTCCAAACCCTAAACCCTAAACCCAAAACCCTAAACCCTAAACCCCAAACCCTAAGCCCGCAGAGCTTCTTACACTTGTCAATAAATCCGTCAAACTCAGCGACACTTCTCCCTCGCCCTCCTGAAAAGCAAAAAGGCCCAAAACCCTACAGCTAGCTAGCTACACACAGCTAGCTAGCTGCCTATATTTAGCTAGCTAGCCAGAAGCAGCTAGCCATCTACCCACGGCTAGCTAGCTAGCCAGCTAGCTAGCCAGCTAGCTAGCCAGCTAGCCAGCTACCTAGCAAGCTGCCCACAGACACCTAGCTGCCTATAGCTAGCTAGCTAGCCAGACGCAGCTAGTTAGCCGCCCACAGCTAGCCGGCTGCGTATAGCTAGCTGACTGACTATATCCAGCTAGCTAGCTGCCCGCGGCTCAGCACAGCCTCTAGCTAGCTAGCTAGGTGTCTCGCTAGCTGGCTAGCTAGCTGTCTGGCTAGCTAGCTAGCTACCTAGCCAGCTGGGGGGCCCCTACTTGTCCAGAGTCTTCTGAGTTGCTTTCGCTGCTGCTGTCGCCGTCTGCTGCTGCTGCTGTGTCGCCAGGGTCCCCCGCCTCTGCAGCAGCAGCAG